AATGTATTTATATAAATGTTAAATGTTTAGCATTTTCCATTCTTCATTCCATTTGTATTTCAATGTGAAGCTTTCAAACTCAATCAATTTGTCTTAAATCTATACAATATTGATTAATGATACATTACAAAAAATATTTAAAAATCTAATATAACTTAGTATTTTTTTGTATCAATCGGCCTTTTTATTATTTATAAAAAATAAAAATAATTCACGTTGGTCTCGCCAGACTTGACATAAAATAATTTATCATTTTGTTAAAATATTTTTTAAATATATGTAAGTAAGTACTTCATAAATTAAATTTAGAAATAAAAGAGTTTGTTCTGATTTTGAAATACAACGAATTAATTTACGAGATTTTTATTAGACTTTTATTTAGCTAGAAATACTTGAAAAATGTTAGCTGATATTATTAAAAAGAATGCGCTTAAGAAATTTTAAAAGCGCATTGCATTTAAGAGTTGTAATTGAAAAACTCCTATAGCAAGTTCAGTGAAGTTCTTTATAAAGATACGAAGGACAATTTTCAGTATTTCAGTAGCTGTAAATTGACTGAACTGAGAGATTTTCTGGCCCCAGCGTCCGACAGCGAGATTAATGGTGGCACGGTTACGCGACAATTTTTGTCTCTTGGACACGCCAGTAGTAAATAAGATTTATTTTCCTTTTTTCGATTCTGATTTTATTGGACAAGAAATAAAATTGAATTATTTATTTTTTGATATATAATACACTATGATAGAGACAGATATATGGTCTTAGTATGAAACAAATAAAGTAATAAACACGGGTTCGGCCGATAATTAATTTATTTTGTTTAGATTGAAAAAAGCTTTTGTTACTATGAACCAATTATATGTTTTCATATTTAATTATCTATATTTGAATGATAAAATAACCGAATGCAGATAACTATCATTGTTTTTAAAAAACATTGTACCACAGTAGGGTTTTCTCCTGTACCGTAGGTGCATTTACAAACATATAATTTCATATACACATCGAACCTAGACCCGGAATAATAAATAATTTATGGACCATACAAAGAGGGGTTCCGTGTGGGAATTAAACCCGCGACATTTACTTCGTTACCCTGCCAGTGCACCAACCGTGCAGTCATACAGAAATAGTAGCCATTTTCAGAATAAATTACAATATTATGAATTTTAACTAAAGCAGCAAGCAATCGACGCCGCCCATGGACACCTGAATATCTTACAGATTTTTTGAGATAAGGGTTCCGAAGATTTAGGGATTGGGCGTCCAGTAATCTCACTCTTACAATGAAACACAACGCTGTGGTTGTTTCACATCTGTATTCTGTGAGGCGTGGTGTCGCTGTGGTCGAGCCAACCTATTCATACCGACGTATGGCCTTTCATGGACACAACGACAAATGAGTTACGAGTGCGTTGCCAACCTTTTAGGGATTAGGAATTTGGAGATTTTGGAATGAGGAGGGATTGGGGGAGGGGAAGGATTGGGCCTCCGGTAACCTCATTCACACAGCGAAACACAAGAAGAAAGAAAGAAGAAAGAAGAAAGACTTACAACAAGAAAGACATACTTACATTTTCTCACTGATTCCACCGTTTACCTTCACCTTTTGACGGCATTGAACACTTAAAGCTAATGTGATATCGTCGCCATCTTTCCCACCTGCCAATATGTCCAGGTTTCAATTTATTGGAACTTCGTACGTGATAAGAGCTAGAGATTCCTAAAAACCTTTCTTTTATTTTTACTGAACTAGTTACCCTATGTTATTTTTAGAGAGGCAAAATTGGTTTATTTTATTGTTAAAGACATGTCATTGAGATTCACCATCGGTAGAAATAACGATTAAGTGTAATTATTAGGGCGAAACATATCTTGATGTATCTCTACTAGATGGCACTAGTGTTAACAAAGATAGACATAAGAGAGAAGAATAAGAGAGAGAGAGAGAGAGAGAGAGAGAGAGAGAGAGATCACTCGTGTCGAGCCAGAGTGATACCACGGCTTCACAGAAAATCGGCGTGTAGCAACACTTACGTTGTTTCGTCCCCCCCTCCCTTATCCCGAATCCTCAAAATTAAATCCCCTATGCTTAAATCCTTCACTTTTTTTGGTATTTTGAGTGTCCATGGGCGGCGCTGATTGCTTGCCATCAGGTAGACCACCTGCTCGTTTGCCGACCTGTCACATAAAATACACCTATTGTGATTTTACTGTGTCTCGAACAACTACGATTGAAAGGTTAGTATACCTACGCGTACAGTATTACCCTTTAGCGTTTTGTAAAATGAGATGTCGGAAGTTGATGACAGCTGCCTACAGTACCATCAAGTTTTCTTTGAGGAAACTATCTCATTTATTTCTTAGAAAACTATAATCGTAATAAATAAATCTTGTATAGCTTATGCTTGTAAAATTGGAGAATTATATTCTAAACATCGTTTTGGTGGTGAAATAATGCAGCTTAATTGCCAAGTCAAAAAATCTACTTTAACTAACTTATTTTATTTATTTAAAAAAAATGTAGGTCTTTTGTAATAAGTAAGTACCCGGGGTCTAAATTGAAGTAAAACGAACGGATCCAGCTGATTTTTAATTAGTGTTGTAAGTTTTGCCACAACTTTTTTATTAGGTATATAAGCTTAGAGCTGCTTGGAAGTAGCTTCGACATCATCTTTTCGAATTGTATTGCATTTAAAAATTATATAAATCCACACGCAGCTCACCAAATTCAGACCAACAATTTGTGGATACGTAGGAGAGCCATGTTTTGACTCGAATGGGTCTGCTCGAACGAAATTATACGACACTGGATATGAATTACTGCCTAGAAATCACCTAAGCGTTGTTTCGCCATGTAAGTAAGGTTAATGTAGGACCAATCTTAACCTTAATCCCTAAATCCCCAAAACCCCTTATCCCAACCAAAAGGTCTGCTACGCATTTTCAACAAAGCAAGAAGATAGGTTGGCAAACGAGCAGACGGATTACCTGATGGTAAGCAATCAGCGCCGCCCATGGACACTCGCAACGGAGGAGTTACGAGTGCGTTGCCTACCTTTTAGGGATTAGGGATTTGGAGATTTAGGGATTTAGGAGGGATTGGGGGAGGGGAAGGATTGGGCCTCCGGTAACCTCACTCACACGGCGAAACACAACGCTGTGGTTATTTCACGCCGGTTTTCTGTGAGGCCGTGGTATCACTCCGGTCGAGCCGACCCATTCGTGCCGAAGCATGGCTCTCCCACACTTAAAGACTGTACTGTATCACTACCTTATTAGATGTGCAAATAAACAAACATAAAATACAAGCAATCTAGAATTTCTATGATATAATATAGTTCTTAAAATAATAGTAGAAAATTGTCGTGCGACTTTATCATGTTGTTTAAGCACGTCTTTTAAAGATTGATATGACAGATGGTAAGATCTTCTATTTAAAAGTTTGACATAAAATAAATAGAAAGCTAGATAGTTTTATGATTTAAAGAATGGATTCTAAACTACATATTATTATATTTATTAGCTTAAACTTGATCGCAGATAAAAACGTAGGTTATTGTCCTTTTTTTGTCAGGGGAAAATCATCAAATGACTTCTCCCGCCCGGGTTAAGGCGAGAGACAGTGTCAGACTCTTACTGACTAAAAACTCCCCCGTTCCTTCTCCTGCTCTGGGCCGAGGCCGCGGTGACTTATTGCGCTTAGCCCGCAACCCCGGCTGAACATCAGGCCTGTGTGTCTGTGGTGTTCTATTGGTTATTGACCTAAAGTCATATTTTTTTTCACTGTCGTACTTCAATGCGTTGACAAACATACAAAATTAACCTAGATTTGGGAAATAATTTATGGATCACACCAAGAACTGTTCCGTATGATTGTTTTCTTAGACGCAGCGCCAACCGCGAAATAAAAAGTATTTTTTGAGGATTCCGAAAGAGAAACAAAATAAATTTACGTTTAATCTATTAGAAACGACTTCAAAACGTCAATTACTATAATCTATGTATATTTCTAATAAAAACCTTGATAAATACTTAGACATATCAAGCTAGGGTGGTCTCTTTAGACGACCTACGTAAAAATGTGCATTAAAATAATCTATTTAATTAATACTTATTTCCCTTTCTCTTTGCGGCATCACGCATGATCGACGAGGGCAAATTATTCCGGTAATTAATTTTTATGTAATTTTGTAAAATATTCTTTTATATTAAATATTAAGTAGGTAATAGCGAGAAATAGCAATAATATCAAAGACTGATATGCTAAAAAAATTATAGACATACAGTACGAAGCAGGATCATGCCCCTAGTTAATCGATATGAATAAAAGTAGACATTCGAGTTATCTAAGATCTTTTAAATTAAACCTTATTTTTACTAAAGCTAATTAGTGAAAATAAAGTTTTTAAAATACTGATTCTGATTCTGATTATGAGTTGTCTGTGTCAGCTGGGAGTTGTTATGCTCACTCAGAGGTCTCATTGGCGCTGGCACGGGCACTGGATCGCTCAATTACCCATAATATTGTTGAGTTGGGCGGTGCTGGTGAACATACATAAATTCTTGAGGTTAACTTCTTTTTCTTTCCCTAAACATTAGTGTTACACCGTTCTCACATATCAGAACCGACTAAATAGTGGAACAAAGAAATGAATTGTAAAACTGATTGAAAAAGAGTAACCATGGAGTTTCATGCTCGTTTTTCTCCATAAGAGTCAACTATTGGAACGAGCAAATAGCTTTAAACTAGAAGACAGACGGACAGACTGACACGCATGAACTTAAACCTCTTAAAATATTTTAATCGTTTTTTGCTAGACGTTCAAAAGTTTCTACTGTGGTCTATTTAAAATAAATGTTTTTGACTTTTTTTGTCATGTACGTTACCGTTAGAACGAGGTTTTTAAAAAATGTAAAATCGATAATCTTGTTTGTGGACACCGAGAAATGACACTCTGGTAATGCCAGCTACTAGCAAATATTAAAATAAAACTCACCTTATCAATTAACGTGTCATTCACAGTCACCACTCCAGTAATCGGGTCTATCTTGAACGGCGCTGGTGGATCTGTCGTCTCCAAGCCGAAGGTCACAGGAAGACTGCTCTCACTATAAACCTTGGTGACGAAGGATCCTATTGGTTCCGTGGGCATCACATTCCAGTTTCGATCGACGTGCATGATCGCCGGAAGGTTGAAGCCAGGAGGCCCTTGTGATGATGCTGGAACAAGAAATATGGAGATTAGAGATTTCTGAAAACAGAGAGTGAAAAATTTTGTTAGGGATTCCTTATCGGCCTGTATAAGGCCTCTCTCTCTAAGTACATTGTTGTAGAAAAGGAATGAGCATATTGAACACTATATGTGATAGAACTAAAAGATGAATTTTGTACTTTATATAAGTACTTGACGACTGACACATTTCGGATTGTTTGCTTAAATAGTGATGGGAAATAAATGAAGAAATAAGTAAATGATAATAATGAACGCGAAAGTTAGCACCATTGAGAATGTAATCAAATCGTATCAAAATTGTTCATTAGTTTCTGAGTTGTGTTCAAACATACAATGTAGCGAAGTTGTTTTATTATGTGTTAGGGAATAGGAGTTTTACCACTTTTAATGGATTTCGCTTTTGTCTTTGAGGTAAAACTTAATATTTTATACCTAACACACCGCATCAAAAATAATCGATTCAAGTCATGAAATCATGTTTAACGTTTATTAATTACCAAGTACACGCTTGTTTGACACAGTCAATACTGAACTTTAACACCTTCCTTGTACATCTAATACATCATTAGCTTAACGAGCGACGTGTTAATTGGCTTTACGATCAAAATCATAACGTTTTGATATGAATTTTAAAACATTAATGACGATTAAAATGTAATTACTTGATTATCTGAGTACAAAAACATTCTCTAAGAATTATTATTGGTCGTAAAAGTTAACGGTTATACAAAAATTTTGATACGTTGGCATATCATATTTTGACGAAAACACTAAGTAGGTATTTGAATAAATAGATGAAGTAGATGTCGACAATTAAATGAAGCACGATGTTATCACGATATCAAATTGTATAGCTATATTCACAGGTTTTTAAGTTTGTAAGCTTGTATGTATGGGGTAATCTTTGGAACCGGTGCCGGTGGCCGGATTTTCAAAATTCTTTCACTGTTCGATAGCTACAATGTTCCTGCTGAGAGCTATAGGCTATTAAAAATCGCGCTACGCCGAGAAGTAGGTGAAACCGCACGAGAGTAGCTAGTATGGTATATTGGTTAAAATGGATTGTAATTTTTTTTGACTGGATTTGCTTCAAGAATTTTGATTATAAATAAAAGGTTCGAAAAATCAATCAACATTAGCTTCAATTTTCAAAAATAATGTTAGGTATTATGTTGAGCAATGTTCAGTCATCCAGGTACTGTTTGTTCATTACTCCACGAGACAGGAAAATATACTAATGTGTAGCAATGTGTTTCTTTTTGTATTAATATACATTTATAAGTTAAAATTAAATGTATTTTCAATAAAACTTAGATGTGAGTACAAAAATTGTCGAAGTTAGCTTTTATTTTAGCTACATTTGAGGAATTTAATTCAAGCTGCTGTCTTCCATTTGATTCTCTACAAAATCAAGTCACGTCCATTAAACGCAAACAGTTAAATACTAAAATAAAAATAGCTATACAAAGTTTAATTAATATATCTGTCTTAACAATCTAATCTTAGAAATTGCTGAAACCGATTTTATTTGAACTTCCCAGACAGGTCGTAGGAGCGATTTCTATTTATTTTTTCCATCGAAGTTTTATGTTGCTATAAGAGTTATTTCCAAGAAGTCCGAAAATGAATCTTGTATAATATTTATTTTATTCGTTTTGATTGGATTCATATATATTAATACACCTACACCTATAAACATGTGGGCTTACTAATATTGGGAAAAATTTAATATCAAATATGTATATATTTGTTTTTAATCCGTTGTTCTACACTATAATTTTCACCTGCAAAAATCGTAGGTGTGTTTACAAACATTAACATATACCTACACAGTCTCTTAGTATAAATATTTAGCGTACAAAGAATAGTTCAGAAATCACATTGTATTACAGACCAACCACTACAGTTAATCTTTCACTGCTCAATTGAAAAGGCTGCCGTAAATTGAGCCTTAGGTTTCATCCCGTACAGTGCAACACTTTGTGTGATTGTCAAATTGTCGTGAGGTAAAATCACCATGTGTATTTAAATAAAACATTTTATATATAAAACGAATATTCCACAAGGAACAAAACTACCAATTGTAAACTTTTAGATGTTACTTGAGGGCTGGTCCTGTTTGGCATGGCTTTTCAACTATGAAAGGAACGTAAACCTCCGAATTTTCCAATTCCCCGCAAACGATGAAGGGGTCACTATTTCCCAATATTTCCCTACTACTTTTCTACAATTTCATATCATAAAAGCCTTCTATTTTACCAAAAAAAAAAATGATTGGTAAAATTTGGCCACGTGACTTATACGTTTACCAAAATATTTTGCGATTAATTATATATAAATAACATTATTTTGCCACTAAGGGGTATTAAAATGTTCTATTCTAATAACTCTATTTTATTTTATGTCTCATAATTACGTGATTTATTATTGGTTTTAAGCTGTATTCGTAAAATATAGAGTACCTAATATTTCGCAAAAAAATGAAGTTGAAATTACATCTTACTTCTGTAAAAAAATAAATTAAAAAAAAACAGAAAAGACTAAAGTAACTACCAGTTTGACAATTATTAAAATAAGATTGTATAGATTACATTTTAAATCGGTACGTTGTTCGCCAGGTGATCTAGTAATACATTTTAAATCAACCAATCAATGCCTTGATTTAAAAAAAAAAAGTAATACGCTATACAACCTTCTTGTGTATCATTTATTAATCTTTTGTGTTGACAGCTCACAAGAATAGTAAATCAATTTACAGTTGTACAGCACTTTACTTTGATTTATTGTACCTGTCTCTATGGATCTGTTCTAAGGACTGACTTGGGTTTACTGATAGACAGACAACCTGTCTATGTTACAGTTATGATATTATTACTTGAGTTACCGGGTTAAAATGTATCAGAGGTTTTAGTCGTGTGTATCTGTCTGTTCACAACAATTAAATATTTTTAATGTTTTAACTCAAAAACTATTGATTACTTATTTATAGGCATGTGTTTTTATAGACCCCATTTTACAAATTGCCTTAAAATAATGTGATTTGATTTTTCAATACTATTTAAATATATTTATTGATTTGATGATTTTCTTAACTTTCTAATTAGGCGAAATAAGTGTCCTATTTGTCATATACATCCAATATATTGATGTCATATGTTAATAAAAGTATTATTTTGATGAGTTGGAAACTACCGAATTAACGTACTCACTCCTACCCAGGAATCTTTTAAGTGTTATATTGTAGAATGTACCTATTCAAATGCAAAACGTCTAAAATGGTGAACATAATGCTAGTATATAGGTACATACAGATACAAAGTAGAAAATAAAATACCAATAATGAATTTATAGCCTCTCAAGCATAAAGGTAGTGCAAAATGTAGTAAGTAATCGTGTAACTTTTTCCGAGTTTTATCTACTAAGACTATTTAGACCATTACTGACATAAGTGTGGAAACAAGGACTTAGAACAAGCGTGATTAGTCATACTCAAACCTTTTTCGTATGAGAAAACCATTTGTCTGGAAGTGGCTGGTGATGATAAAAGCAACTTCAGAATAAAGAGTTACAATTTGATTACAACTTTAAAACATTTTCCTTTGTTTAGTACACAGGTAAATGGGCAATGCAAGGTTTAAGCTGCTCAGCGAATTTAGAGACAACTTCTCTTTGAAAAGGAAACAAGCAAGATAGCTTTGAGACGTCTAATGTTGTAAAGGACGCTCTGCAAAGCTTATTACGTGCATTCAAAGACCTTATGACGTCTGTGTTTCAGCAAAGGTTATATTTGCACTTGGTTTAATTTAAAACTGGGGTCAAAGTAAGGTTTTAAAAGATGAAACTGCGTTCCGGTAAAAGTCTATTTATAAAGAGGTTAAATATGTATCTATAACGTAATACTTATTTTCAATCTTTGTTATTATGACAACAAATTAAATTCTATATTATTTTATACTTTAAAAATAAACATTGGTCTGTTTTAAAAAGGCGTTAGACCAAAAAGGTTTGTATTTTAATGTGGCTACAGATTATCCTATGATAGGTAATAAAGGGTCCGTTTTTTAAGTAATGGGCATGTAATTAGCATCTGTCACGCCTGGTGGTAAGTGATGTTGCAACCTACGATGGGAGCATATCTCTAAACAACCAATCTAGTCGAGCCTTGAATACAACCACTCCACTCCTAAGAGTTTTTGATAATAATATTGGAGTACTAGGAAGCGATGAAGTTTATATTGTATTTTGACGAAATATGAATACTTTGCAAAGTAGTTACAAATTAATACTTCTACATGTCAATAATGAGATTAAACAAACGATAAGGCGAAGAAGAATTTTGAAAAGCAGCTTTGTGTTTCGCCGTGGGAGTGAGGTTACCGGAGGCCCAATCCTCCTCCGCCCCCAGTCCTTCCCCGCCCCCAATCCCTCCTCAACCCCTAAATCTCCAAATACCTAATCCCTAAAAGGTCGGCAACGCACTCGTAAATCCTCCGTTGCGGGTGTCCATGGGCGGCGCTGATTGCTTACCATCAGGTAATCCGTCTGCTCGTTTGCCGACCAATTACATAAAAAAAAGCGACCCAGAGAGCCAAACTGGCCCTCCAAGCTCAGCAGTCACGGTTGCTACTTCTTAACTAAGGACACAGTAAAACTTTTCAAGACTTAGAAGTCAGCACCTCCATCGCACAAACTCCTTATAATTTAAACTTAGAAACAAAAAGTTTTTAACTTGGATGTTTTAAGTCTGAAAGGCTACGGTGGGATTCCAATTCCAAGTGTCTTTTTTTTATTCTTCATTGTAATTTAAAACTTGTTGGAATAGAGTTTGTGAAATGAAACTATTGCTTTTTTATTTATGAAAGACAACTTCTTTATTAAAGACTATTTTCATTGGTTTGATCTTCAAGTCACGTGCAGAATTATTGAACTTTTCAGTTTTATAGTTACTGTTATGTTATGATTTGTGTTTGCAATCGAACGAAACGAT